TCTCCCTCCATTCCCTCCTGGCACTCTGCTCTTCCAAGAGAGAGGAGAAGGGGCAGTGTGGACCACTCCTCCCCAGGGTTCTGTGCTCTCAGGGTGCCACCTGGTACATACAGGGTTGAGGAAACCACAGCTCTGAGGGCACCTGGCAAGTGACGTGAGACCAGGGGAGAAGACAGGCCTTAGGAGAGCAGGTTCTGACATAAGTGGCTCTGGGAGTTCAGTGACAGCAGCCGCCACAGTGCCCACCTGCGTGGGAGTGCTGGCTGTCCCCAAACTTGGTTCTCCGGCTCAGGATCTCATAGGAGCAGTCTTCCCCACAGCAGCCAGACATGCTGGGAGAAGAGTCATCAATTTCAAATCTGCAAGGTAGACAGGAGAAAGAGTTGACTGCAGGCAGCTGAATGCCTTCCTCCCTAGCCTGAGAACTTTCCAACAGTGCCAATGATGAGACCCCTGGAACCAACGTGCAAGGGACCAAGTCAAAGGACACTGACATACTATCTTACCAATGCCAACCTCCCATGCCCCAATGGACTGTGAATGGGGGCTGGAACCAGGAATGCCGCACAGGGACAGTGCCTCTGACCACCCAGAAGGACCACGTCAGGGCCCAGCTCCTTACTGTAGTGCTTCTCGGAAGAACTGGTAGGCACCGTGATTRTGTTTAAATACTGTTAGCATCACCTTCTTCATCTGTGTACTGCAAGAAAGCAGAACAGGAGCTTAAGAAGCTTTTCTCTTTTTCTTTTGGTACTTGGGATTTAAGGCATGGGTGCTTTACCACTGAGCCATATCCCCAGCTGCCCCCCGACCTTTTTTAAATTTTGAGATAGAGTCTTACCAAGTTACCTAGGGCCTCACTAAGTTGCTGAGGCTGGCTTTGAACTAGCAATCCTCCTGCCTCAGCATCTCSAGTAGATGAGATTACAGGCCTGCGCCACCGTGCCCAGCAGAGCAAGTACTTTTTAGAAAGAGTCAAGGCCATGCCTCCCCTCCCTCATGTCCTTGCTACTTTCCCCTAAATTAACCCAAAAGGAGTCCCCAAGTCTCTTGTCCAGCCTGCAAAGACCCTAGGTACCACAGCACTCAGTGTTTCCCTCCACAGCAGGGTGGTCAGACTGCGCCAGGATCTTCCCCACYCTTTCTCTGTAGCCCCATTACTTAGGCTCAGAACTCAGCACAGATCAGGCCCTGAAAAAATGCTCTCAGGGCTGGGGCTGGGGCTGAGCAGCAAAGCACTTGCCTAGCACAGGTGAGGCACTGGGTTCAATTCTCAGCACCACATATAAATAAATAAATTAAATAAAGGTCCACTGACAACTTAAAGAGATGCTCCCTGCTCTGAACTGAAGGACAAAACTGGAGTCCAGCAAGGCAAGGAGCAGGATACTGAACAGATTCTAGATGCTGTCTCCAGAACATTTCTTATGATTTGTCCTCCAAGGAGACTCAAARAACAGTGGACTCAGAGGCAGCTCTTTCCAACTGACCCACACAGGACCTCCTAAGAAGGTGGCCCTTTTAAGGTCCTTACTTAGCACCTGGACAGCCATCTTAAGTGACAGCCGCCAATTTAAGAAAAATTCTGCTTTCCCATGGGCRTTCCTGAGAAAGGCTCACCACTTCCTCGTACCAATCTCATCCTTAACCACCCACATTAGGACCTGCCCAGCTTTAATCCCTGAGCCTGCCCCATAAAAGTCCTGAACCCCAAGCCTGTTTCGCCTCTCTCCGTCTATGGAGAGATGGCCTTTATTTGTCAGCTCTGACAAATAAACTCTTGTGTGGATCTCTGCCTGGTCTCCATCTTTCACTTCTCACTCACCGTCTCCAGGTTCCTCGCTTTCTTTTCAGCCCTTACCTGTTGGCCATAAGCTGCAGGATCTGTATGAGGAACTTCCCCAGGCCTTTCCGCCGCACTTTGCTCTCCAACTGCACTTCATAGCTGGAATAAGGAAGCAGARGGTGAGTGCAGGTTGCTGCATGAAGGGGCTGCAAGGCCCATCAGAGGAGCCTGCAGCCCCTGCAGCCCAGACCCAAAGGCTTTTGCCACGTGGTCTCCTCCCCTTGGCTGCGCCCCTAGGCCCTGGCTCCTACCAGTACAGGACTTCATCCCCGCACTCCACGTCAAATCGGAAGTGAGAAAAGGCAACAGGCACAGAACTGTTCTCCCAAGCAATGAGATACCACGCTCGGTCGTCAGTCATTTCCTCCCGTTTCTCTCGGTCTTTCCAGCCCCACTCGCTCTGCTCATACCTGAGGAATTCAGGAGCAGTCAGGACAGGAAGGCTTGGGGAAAAGCCAGCTGGGAACAAGGCTCCCCTCTGGTCAGCCCTGCTTACATGGTTTGCATATTCGTTTTGGTCAGGTCAAACGCCCAGTCCACGGTGGCTGGCTCCAGTCCAGACACCCGCTTACATTCAATGGAGACATTCAACCTGAGAAGAGGACAGGGAGGTGTGAGAGCTGGTCCGAGTCTGTGCTCCTGCCAGGGCACTGCATTCCACCCTGCAACTCCGACAGAGAGGTGCGCCTGATCTCAGTTACCATTTTGGGTTGGATATGTGGTGTCCCCCAAAAGCTCAGGTGCAAGAATGTTCAGGAGTGACATGACAGGGTTGTGAGTTGTAATCTAATCTGTGGTAACCCCCCACTATGGATCAACTGGGTGGTAACTGGAGCAGGTATGAATTGGCTGGAAAAGGGAGGTCACTGGGCTTCTGTTCTGTCCCTGGTGAGCAGAGCTCTCTGCTTCCTGATCACCTTGTCCGGAGCTGCTGTCCTCCTCTAGCCCTTCAGCCATGATGCGTTGCCTCACCTCAGCCCAGGGCAGTGGAGTCAGCCCTCTGTGAACTGAGACCTCTGAAATCATGAGCCCCAAATAAGCTTCTCCACAYTGTTCTTGTCAGGTCTTTTGGTCAGAGAGACAGAAAAAAGCCGACTAAAACACTCTCCCAAGAGAAACCAAGATGACTCCAGACATGACTGAAGACAGTGCCTGGGCCGAAAACTAAGCCTTTTGGGTCGAGATCAACAACTGTCATTGCCACACCTGCCACCTAACCACAGGGCCCTTCTCCTGCCTCCCCTGCCGGGTCCTTGTCAGACTCAGTACTCTGTCAACCTCTTGTTCCTCTCTGCTACCTCTACTGCTCTTTTCCTACCCACTGGGCCTCTTGTTTTTGTTATAAACACTGGTGTCTATTTGTCCCTTAGCTCCTGTTGCTTGAATTCTGCACTGACTATCGCTGGGCTCCCACAGGCTCTCTTCCTTCTCATCTATACCAATCTGGCCTTCAAAACCAATTGGGTGACCCTGGGTCCTTCAAGGCAACTACAGCTCAATACCCCTCAAGAAGCCCCACCTGCCTCTTCATCTGAGGACTCAGGGGGTATTCTCAGTTGATTAAAGAGGGTAGTACAGGGTGTAATCCACCATTGTTTTCCTAAACTAACAAATTCTATAAGTATTAAGGTATTTGTTTCTTTCCTTTTTTTAGTCCTGGGGATTGAACCCAGGGATACTTTACCTCTGAGCTATATCACCAACCCTTTCTATTTTACTTTGAGACAAGGTCTCACCCAAATTGCTGAGGCTGGCCTCAAACTTGTAATACTCCTGCCTCAGCCTCCAGAGTTGCTGGGATTACAGGCATGTGCCACCATGCCTGGCAGGTATGTTTCTAAAGGAAATTTAAGTAAAATAAAGTTAAACTCCCCAGTAAATCTATGAAATGACATTCTTTTTTTTTTTTTTTTTTTTTTTAAAGAGAGAGTGAGAGAGGGGAGAGAGAGAGAGATTTTTAATATTTATTTTTTAGTTCTCGGCAGACACAACATCTTTGTTGGTATGTGGTGCTGAGGATCGAACCCGGGCCGCACGCAYGCYAGGCRAGCGCGCTACCGCTTGAGCCACATCCCCAGCCCTGAAATGACATTCTATAAGTAACGACATTCTGGACAGCTACTTTTCCTTTCTTTCTTTATAGTGAAAAACTTACTTTGGAGTCAGGAGGCAGTAATGACACCTATCACATTGCTAGGACCTCCCCCAGCCACCTCCACCTTCATCCAGATCTGTAGCCTCTAAAGCTCCCAAGTGGTACATTTCCACCTCTGAGAGGCAAAGAAGCACCCATTGTGAATGGACTGGAATCAGCAATATGTAAGCCTTTAAGGAGCAACACGTCCGAATCTTTCAGGGGYCTCTCATGCCAACTCCAGGGGATGCTCCCACTGGAATTCACCACATGTCAGCTGACTGGCATTGCCCATGTGCTTAGACTAGTAAACACAGAACCTCCTACCCCTTCTTAAGTACCAATCACACAGCAGTAAGAATTGCCCCAATACAGCACTACTTCTGTTTTAGCCATAAAAGGTCCAAAGACCAGTCTGCAGAATTCCTCCACTAAATCTGTATTCAGTAAGTTTGTGAAAGTAGGAGCTTGGCCACAAGAATCACACAAAATTCCAGGAATTGGAGGAACCCAGAGTCACCTGGTAAGTGCTTCCAAGTTATTCCCTGTTTCTGGAAGTCAGTGAGAACACACAGATATGGAAACACTAAAGGATACCTCAGGAAGAGATCTCTAAACCATGTCAAAGGACTTCCCAGAAGCTGAAAGACAGTGCCTTCAGGAAGAGTAACACGTTTGCTCACAGACAGGAATACATCAGAATAAAGGAATACTATGGTGCCGTGATACTGTGAAACACAGCCACGAAAAGCAAACAACACTGCCAGCTTCATAATTTACAAATCTGTGTCTCTCTTGTTCATTAAAATACTCGTATCTGCTGCTACTTCTTGTACTGAATAGATTGTCCCTCCTCCTTAAAACAACCCTGAAGGTTGGCATCATCATCATCCTAACTGACAAGTAAGAAAATGAGGCTTAAGGGCTGGGGAGGTGGCTCAAGCGGTAGCGC